GACCAGAGAGAGCAGGAGTACGTTGTAATACTTCAGTTATGAGGTGGTAAGAGCCTGAACTAAAGTAGTGGTAATAACAGTGGTGTCATGGTAACATTCATTATCCTTGCTTTGCAGCTGAGAATATGGGCCTAAAGGCAGGTGAGTTCAACTAAACACACCCAGCATTTTAGTAGTGGAGCTCAGAAGGTTGCCATCCTGTCCTTCCTCCCTTAGCCTTAGCTGTTATCAAGCCTGTAGCCTTCTTTAATGTAGTGCCAAATGAGGCAAAGGGATACACCACCAATCCTATATATCCTGGATAAGATGGAGTATTGGGAGGTTGGAGGCAGAACACTTAAGAAACAAACAGCACTTGTCAGGAGATGTTTGTGATCACTGGAATTGATGTTTTCTGAGGACAGGACAGATTTAGCCTAATACCAGCATCTTGGTTCTTAATTGGATCCTCAAGCGCAGTTTTATGGAAAAAGCTAAATGATAATGAGACTGTCATAGAGGGCTACATCAGTCCCTGGAGGTGAGGAATGGGCCAACCTGGCCTTTGATCATTCTGCCAGAGGATCCAGAGCCACTGAGCAGCTGCCAGAGGTTGGGTAGGTCACCTCCACTGGTACTAGGTGACGTCTTGGCTCATGGGACTGAGATGTCAGCAAGACTCAATCCAGTTCAATGCTATACACACTTATTAAGCAACTACTGTTGTACATAGGGTGTCAGGGTCTCTACTGAAGTTTCCTAAGGAAAAACAAAGCCTCTGGTAAGAATGCCTTCCATGCCACAGTCATTCCTGGGATATAGCTATGGCAGGCTTCTGGGATCTCCTAGTCCCTCTAGGGTCGCTATCCACCAAAGAGCCACAAAGGACCAGTCGCTCTCAGCAAAAACAACAGCAACAGTATATACACAGCAAGGAAAACAAATTCATTTGGAATGGACCTATGCCATTCAGGCCACATCTTATGCTGAATAGGCTGATTATTTTCCAGTTCACTGTGTGCTGAAAGTTGATATTTGGGTCATTCATCTAAGAATCATTTCATTCTTGTTCTATTCAACATTAACTAAAATACTAGGAAAATAGTGGCATGTGGTCCTGAACCTTCTTTCCTCTCCATTCACTTGTCTACTCTGCACTCTTTTACTCTGACCAGATTTCTCCTGGGCAATCTGAGAATTTCAGGGTGATTTCAAACTGCACAGTCCAGTAGTCATGATTTGAGTCACGATGGCACACATAGGAGAACAGCAGGCATAAACCCCATAAAGGAAGGGGATCTGTCATACCAAAATTTGTAATTTCCCCCTTATGCTGAGCACAGTGCTCTGAATAGTTACTAAACAGAGAGAAACTTTCTTATAGTGAGAACTACAGATTTGTCTAATAAACTCCTAAGAAGACCTAAAGTTTTCTCATCTTCAAGCTAAATGTTTCCAATTCATTCAACTGCTTTTTGTTTAGCCTAATCTTCAGTCCCTTCATCTTCGTTGTCTTGCCCCTTTGGACCAATTCTAATTTGTTAATGTCCTTTCTTAAAATGTTCTGCTCCAGACTGAACACCACACTCCAGAAATGAACAGGGCAGAGAAGATCATTCCAGACAGTGTGCCTCTAACAATGCACAGGAGGTGCTGTGGGGAGTCTCATGGCCCGCCCTGTGCAGGTTAAGGAGCAGACAGGAAGGAGCTTATGATACCATTTTGACAATAAGAGCTACACTCTTATGTAATTAGATGGTCCCGTCCTAACATTTCCTGGGAATGAATTCCTCTTCCTCCTCTACTGCTTGTACTTGTTGAAGCAGCTGCATATATATGTATATGTCTGTACACACATATATACACACACATATGTGTGTCTACATATATATACACACATTCACACATATCTGTTGTTGTTCAGTCCTTCCAGTCGTGTCCAACTCTTCGTGACCCCATTTGGGGTTTTCTCAGCAGAGATTTCCTTCTCCAGTTCATTTTACTGGAGATGAGAAACTGAAGAAAACAGGGTTAAGTGACCTGCCCAGGATCACATAGTAAGTATCTGAGGTCAGATTTGAACTCACAAAGGTAAGTTTTCCTGACTCTAGGCCCAGCACTCTACTGCACCACCTAGCGCTCTCTCTCTCTCTCTCTCTTTCTTTCTCTTTCTCTTTCAAACACACACACATGTGTGTGTATGTGTATGCATGTATGTATGTGTATATATGGAAAGAAGAAATGAGCAAAGGCAGGAAGACTTAATGATAGAAATTCCATATCCACACACCAAAATCACTCCTTGGCTGTAGATGGGGAATATGAAAATGAAAAATGAAAAGAAAGCTGGGCTTGGATTCAGAAACCATGGTTTCTGTAGCTATCTAAGTGACCTTAGACAAATCCCTTCACTTCTGAGACTCACTTTCCTCATTTGCCAAATTAAAGGTGATAATGTACTCACTGAGCTCAGAGCCCTGTCGTGAAGTTTGTAAACCACCAACTACTGTATAGATGTGTGTTCTTGTTACCACTAAGTTCCTTTTCACTGAGAAGTATTAGAGAACGTGTTCTGAAACTGTAAAGAGGAATTGAGGTTAGGGTTAAGTTGGGGTGAACTTCCCAGGAGCCCAGTTTTTGGACCATGGGAGACATCAGGAAGGAAGAAGATAAAATGAACATGCTGTAGTGGGAAGAGCCAGCAATAGGAGACAGGAGACAGACCCATGTTCCAGCCCTGCCTCCAACACTCACTAGCAAATAATCACTTCAACTCTCTGGGAGCTCCCACCTCTGTGGAATGACTTAGACTATGTGTGACCAAATGAGATAGATAATAATTGTAAAGCACTTAGCACAGTGCCTGGCACATAGTAAGCACTATGTAGATATTAGTTATTCTTATCATATTATCTCTAAACCCCTTCCAGTTCTAAAGTTCATAAAAAAGACTTAGAGATTATCTTATCCAGCACACTTATTTTATAGAGGAAGAACGTCAAGAGGCACAGAGAGATGAAATGTTTTCCCAGGACAGAGATTAAGAACAGTGCCGTAATTTGAATTCAGGTTCTCTGATGACAAATCCTGGGTTCTTTCCTCTATACCATTCTGATCTTTTCTGAGTGGCTCAGGAGTCTTCCCTGGAGACTTTGCCAAATAGCATAGACATGAAACTTGGAAGCAGGTGGAAGAGCCAGTCAGTCAGCTCTGTTCTACTCCTGAGTGGTCTGATGGGCATTGGACCAGCCATTGAACCATTTAAAGAGACCCTGACAGCTCTCTTCCAGGACTGAGCCTGGATTCCTGGCCCATTCTTTAATTACTTAGTGAGTGCACTTGTAATTTGTGTGTTACAGAGCTTTTAAAAACAAAGAACCAAAGAGCTGAAAAATTGTGTGGAAAATGAAGGAAATATTTGCAAATCCTTGCTGAGGCTGTGAATGAACTGTTTCCTAACATGTACACCTTTTTCCAATCTTAATTCCTGAGAATATGGCCCATAGAGTGCACACATTCCTCTGCTTTCCCTCTTTCCCTGTAGTTTATTCAGCAGAAAGAGAA